GTTGTACTGATGAGTGCCCTGAAGACGCAACGTGGTTGTTTGATGCGAAGAGTGTTGTATCCTGGCTAAATTTCTTAAGCAGTGTAAACCCGAGAGAAAAGTTAGTGTGCTCGAGAAGATAGCATTGAGAAATACCTTGTGGATTATATTGGCAATCTTGGGGATAATGATAATCTGCCATAGCAAACCAGAAGGGGAAAGTGGAAAAAGTGTACAAAGATGCCGATGAGCAGGGGAATAGGTAACAGTTTATTCATCGGGCTTATTGGTATTCAGATCAGATCCCGGAGCTCATTCCAGCTGCATAGGACTTGCAAGGTGATGGTAGATAATGCGCCTACGACTGCGCCTAAGAGATATGCTGGACCTTTTCTGGAAGCTAGTCTGTAGAGACTTTTATCAATGGCTAATATTGTGTCGATTTCTCTTCGACAACGTCACTCTCATTATCAAGTTGAGGTTCAGAACTGCTTCTTCAAAACTTCTTGGTCCTTGTCTCGGTTTGATGAATTCAGCACTGCTGTTCGGATAACGGCCGAGAGAAAACGAGTATAGTCGTCGATTGATCGAGAGTGGTTAAAATACCGTCGGAGATTAGAATCGGTGTTCGGGAATAGATGGCGCGAGTCAAGGCATGGATTCTGAGAGTTCATTAGCATTGGAATTAAGTTTCGTTGTAAGATTTCAGTTACTCACAACTCTCTGCTTCTGGTCGCCACTCAGTAAGCCCCCGTTATCATTGCCCGGCTTCGCCCAATCGGTTATCTTGCCAATGTCTATATTGAAAGCAGACGCTTTAAGAACCTCTTTATGTCATTCGTGACTATACTCGTTGGTGCCAATAACCGCTTGTCGAATGGTGTAGTTGGGAATTCAAGCATTCTGGTGATAGAAAGCCATATTGTATATTTTTATATAGATGGTTCCACTAGAGAAAATAGTTTCGCCTAACAGTATAAAGCAAAGTAGACTTGTCGCAACCGACCGGGCTGATGATGATGTTGAGTGACGCAGTAGTGATGTTACAGCTGACATTATCTAAGACGCTTACTTGGTTTTTGATTGCTAGTGCTAATACTGATAGATATTGACCCATATTTGAACGCTCTCAGTTGTCGACAGCTTCTTCTCCAATAGTTCTGAAGAACTCCTAGCGGTTTCTCTTTCTTCTATATCAAGGGAAATTGTACCAATGCGATTGAAAAGTTGAAGAGGTTCCTTGCGCTCGCTGTGCAGGAGAAATTCTTGAATATGAAGGAATTTGAAGAACCCAACGCTCAATATTGGTGAGTTGAGAATGAGAGCCATTAGCCGCCTTCGAAACAAAACAGCTAGCAATAAATACGTATAAAGTGATGAAGCGTCGAGGCCGCTTTTTCAAGTGGTCCAGAAGACCCCTCCAACAGAATTTACTCTCATTGTCCACATCGTTTCGATGCTGTGATTTGGTTGAGAGATCATTCGAATTCATCCAATTTGAGGGGAAAATCGACTGAATTCCAAGGTTGTTACGACCAGGACCGAGTTTGCGGCCAGAGTGAACATAATTTTGTGGAATTTTGCATAAAATGTGTAGGCAGCGGGTTCTTCCAGCTAATTAGAAGTGTGCAGCTGAGGCTCGTGAGGAGGAACATCAAAGACAACAAGAGCGAAAGAACTGTAGACTGCGGTTGATTAAGATTAAGACAATTAGGTGTTGGTACTAGAAACCCGGGAATATCAGCCAGCATTAGTCGAGTTGGAAGAGGGGCAAATGCGGCTGATTGGGAGGCACGTTGATTGGTCTTGATGCTGCAATCGAAAGTTTGTAGCAAAAGACTCTGGTTAGTTGGAACGAGGTTATAAGACACCGACATCGTAAGACTATGTACTGACTAGGTGCCTCGTAGTGTCTTCTTCTAGTACCGATGAGCGTAATAAACATATCTTAAGCATAATAATCTATAACGTCTATTACGAACATACGTGTGTATTGTAGCAGGAAATCTTTCAGATCACTAAAGATTTGAGATAGCTAGCTGGGAGAAAAACAAACACGTCTAAGCAATATGAGTGAATATAGAGATGATCATGGTGATGCTAGCTCTACAGAGCATATTGAAGACCGTTCAAGTGATGGGATTTTCTCAAAGTTTGATTGAGATGATGTGAGTGCTCTGATCCTTCTGAGCTATTTGAAGGCCGTTATTTGCATGTCCATTGCTCAATTTTTGAAATTGAGGAAGTGTAACTATTGGATTGCGCGCGTCGAACAGAGCATTAGGCTCTTTCATAGTATCATAGTGAATTAGACTGCAGCCTACGATACCCAAGTCATCGGGCCCACACCTAGTTTCCTTTCTTGTAGCCATTTTATCATATTGATTTGAAATCCTGTTCGTAGAATGAAAACGACTCAATGATACTGAGCAATTGTGATTATAGAGCTTGGAAATTGGAGCTACTAGATGATGGATTTAATCTATTTTATTTACGGGATACTTCAAGAGATTTACAGGATTTTGGGACAGTGTGGAAGGGCGAGGATGGAAAGAGAGTCAGAAAGTTTAGAGTGAATTATTTGAGAGTGATGAAAACTGAGATGGAAGCTAAATGTTAGAGGCTTTCGAGGATGATAGAGCGGGGAAGTAGACGATGTAGAGAAATAGAGATTCAGAATCGAGAGCCGAGAGTCATAACAGAAGTATTTTGATGTTGTGACTGGGGTTTGTACTGGTAAATGTGAGCTTTAGTAAAGATTTGGGGGTTGATAATTGGAAGATGGAAATTGAGATATTAGGATGGCTAGTCTGAGAAGCAAGGAAGGATTTAAAAGATAATATTTTGGGTAGAGAATCCAAGGGTTCAAATTAAGGCGTATCTAAAAAGCAAATTATTTCAATGAAAATCCAGATGTTGTGTAAATATACCTAATATGCGAATTTCAGATACAAAACCTATTCTTGGAAAGTGTAGGCAACTAGTGTGATTTAGGTAATTTTACACTTTACCAAGTAATTTTACATGATCATCATAGTAAGAATAGTTTTCCTATGAACAAGTTTTGAGAAAAAATCTTTATACTATTTCTCTTTCTAAGTTTTTTGTGCACTTGTCATCACCAGGAATTCGAATTGATTGGATATTTCAACAATCAAATTCTCAACTTGCTCTCCTGAAAATTACGCGAAGACACTAAAACAAATCGCAAATCGACACAGCAACCAACTTGCAACCAAATTTTTCTCCCAGAATCTTGAATCCCAGAATAAACAATACAACAGATACAGTTTGTGTGTTATCAGTTACAACAACATTTATAACAATGGATGCCAAGCTTAACATCACAAGCATTTCACAAACACCATCAGCTATTGTTGAAGCCAGCACAATGGAGAACAATAACATGACAAGCACACCACAAGAATCATCAGCCATTACAACTGTAGCAATGGAGAACGAAGATCAAACTGCGACTACATCTTGCAACTACCACACTCCCCCCACAAGCACAACGATGAGCAACATCACTCTTACAACTTCTACCACTGCAAACATCGCACCACCAACTCCCTCCGCAATTACAATGATGAGCAACATCACTCCTGTAGTTGCCGTCGCTGCAACTTTCCCATCACCAGGTCTCATGGCCACATTCCCACTTGAGCTTCGGATTTCAATTTACAAGATATGCCTCTGCATGACCGTTGCCGGCCTCCTTCCGCCCATTCTTCTCGCGTTTCACGGTACTTCTGATTATCCCCTCCTCCAATACCTATACAAAACCATCAACTTTGTCCTCTCCGATGCCACATTGCCTCTTTTCTCAACCATTAAGAAGCTTGGAAACAAATTGAAGAAGCTTTTCTATTTACACATACGCTCTGACAACTTCGCGTTCGTATAATTATTTCCTACACTTCTCAAATTCACAGCCAGTACATTACTGATATTATGATAAAAACAGATTCTACAGACTCGACTCTACTACCCGCAATCTTCTCGTCCACCACAACTGTAAACTTGAAAACTGGTTCCGTAAGATAACTTTTACTGCCATCCAGCCGACTCGCACCCCACAAACCACCGACTCAGAATTGTCCGAAGCCAACGGTAACATTGATTCTATTATATATCAACTTTGCTACATTGTGGGCGCAAGCGTTGAAGCGCCTGAATTTCGTGTCAAGTTTCTGGGTTATAATAATGGAAATTTGACCGACCAGAGGAAATTGGATGGATATGTTGATTTCGTAAGTCATCAACTGACATTTTCAGGTCGACGTTGGACTCCGACAAGACAGCTGGTCGGGGACGATGGTTTGGTTCATAATGGAATTGTTTGGATTTGGAAGCTCGTCTAGGGAATAGAGAGGGAGGGGCTACGGATGAATTTCTTGATAACTAACAAGGTCGATGCAGAGGAATATCATAGATTTGGGTGGGCACTTATGCCAGCTCAGGCATTCACAGAGGTTCAGATATCCAGAGAGACTCAGAAGATTGGATAGGCTCAAGCATTCAACCTAGCCTAGAGACGGATATGATTCCAAGTGCTAATACTTCAGATCTATGTGACAGTCGGGGCGGTTGGAAAAAGAAGCTTCTCAAGGATATCATCAAGACTACCTCTTTCAATAATACTAGTTTTATGTCACTTAAGGGAACATAGCCACAGATCACAAATACATATCAAAGAAAAAAACTTTTCGGTTGCACCTAATATCTTTGCTAACTTGCTTTCCTTCCCACAGTGTGAGATTTAACCACAACCATCATTCCATTGCTACCCTCTAGCCACAAACATCCAGGCACAATTTATCTCATAATCCCAATGATCAGGGGACAACCCCCCAAATAAACAAATGGCGAAGGAAAATTTTTCCATGAAAACAATCATAATTTTCTTGCATCGCGATGATTTCTCAAAATGACACAACTTAGATGAACAATCGGTGCCGTGATCGCCGAAATGTGAAAAAGAGAGATTTCGTTTGATCAGCATAAAAGGTATCGAGCATTTAGTCAGTCTTGGTGTAGGCGGCGGAATCGACACCTCCCTCGGGGTACTCTCTGTTATAGATTGTTAGTATTGGAAACGAAACGCGAAGTGAGATTTGGGGGCTGCTACGGAAGTGCAACTTCGAATCTCTTTTCAACAGCCTTCAAAACCTCTTGATCTGCCTCATTGCTAACGAATGAGATAGCAAGACCCTTGGTTCCGAAACGACCAGCACGTCCAACACGATGAAGGTATGAGTCTGCATCAGGTGGGAGATCGTAGTTGATGGCCAAGTTAATCTTGTTGACATCAATACCACGACCGAATACGTCCGTAGCAACACAGATACGCTTGTTAAAATCCTTGAAGTCGTTGAAACGTTTGATACTATTCACGTGTCAGTAATGCAGAAAAACCGGTGAAGCTATAAGACGTACCGTTCCTCTTGGCTGACACCAGAGTGGATTGCAACTGATGGGAAGTTACACTCGCGCAAGAGCTTGTCAAGTTCAGTGGCTCTGACTGTGCTCTTGACGAAAATGATGACTTGATTGAATGAAAGCTCATCTAGCAATTCATTGAGACGTCTATTCTTTTCTCTCTCCTCTAATTTGATGTAATATTGTTGAAGACCATAGAGGGTGAGCTTTGTCTCATTATCAATATAAATTTCAAGAGGGTTCTGCATGAACTTCTTGCAGATAGGTCGAACCTCTTGAGAAAGAGTAGCACTGAACATCATGACTTGCTTTTGTGGTGGTGTGGCTCTGAAAATTTCCTGAACATCGCGACGCATATCTAAAACAATATCAACAGTGTGCACCTAGAAGGACTGCAATTAAACTTACCAATTTGATCCAACATCTTGTCACACTCGTCAAGAACAAAAACCTTAACGCTGTTGAGGCGCAAGTATTTGTCTCTAACAAGGGCGTTCAATCGACCTGGGGTACCGACGATGATGTGTGGGTGGGTCTCAGGATTCTTCAATACCTCACATCCTTGCTATAGGAACTCCACCGTAGAAAACACCAATTTTGACATCTGGCATGAAGTGACAGAAGCGTTGATACTCATTTCGAATTTGGTAAGCCAGTTCACGAGTGTGGCACATCACAAGTACGGATGTTTCACCGGCGACTACCTCGACTTGTTGTAGAGTTGTGAGGACGAAAACGGCGGTTTTACCGAGACCAGATTTGGCCTGGCATAGGACATCTGTACCAAGGATCGCTTGGGGAATACAGACTTGCTGAACTGTAGTGATCGGACCGAAGTTAGATTAAGTGTCCAAATTTATAATCAGGTGCAAGAGATCGCAAGTCCGCCCATCTACGCAAAATACATCCACAACACAACACCCAGAATGCACAGATCGAAGTAGAGGCCCGATATTTGCCTTGGAAGGCGCAAATCGTCAACTTTACACAAACGCAACAAAGGCGTCGGTTGGAGTCGATCCTGGAAGTCTCTAGGCATGCACTTTAAACGTATCTCCTACAATTTTGCCAGCAATTATATCGCCGCTTTCTTTCGAGATTCTCGCCTAACGCATATGTTTGCCATCCCTCCGAATCTTGTATCGGACCGGTAGAGACATTCCAGGATCGCTCGTAACTTGCTGAAGTTTTGACCAGAGAGTATTCATTTTTTGCTTGCGAGATGGACGGACGCGCTGCGAGAAGGACAATGATGGAGTTTAGGGATGAAAGTTATGACTAACCCTCCGAAGGATGTTCGAATCCGCACCAGGAAATGGCTCGTAGAAGCTCCGGCTTCAATAAAAATTCGCGGAAACCAGTCGAATGGATACCAACATAACTGCCCTTCTTGGCCGCAGCTGCATTTCCAGACACGGTCAAATTTCCTGAATCACCCTTGACTCCTCCGTTTGCGCCAGCAGCTGGTGCTGGTGCCTCTGTTGTTGCGAGCTCCTCATCAGAGTAATCGATCAAATCTTCTTCGGCGGCAGACATTTTGATGATATTTGTTTAGTTAAAAGGTTAGGTTCGTTGTTGTTGAAAGGTAAAGTCGATCGCAAAGGTCAATCTTAGTAGTCGTTATTCTTGCTGAAAATTGTTAGGAGTAAATGAGGAATGACAAGAAGAAACGAATCAATTAAGAGATAGATCGTGATGATCGAAGTCGGGGAAGAAGTACTGAGATGGATGGAGGTAGAGGTGGTGAAAGAAAGATGGGTGAGCGCGACTAAGGGATGCTTTGTCGGCGCGGCTTCAATTCGCCGCTAAGCATTGTATCACGTGTAATCTTGGCTCAGCTTACGGAGTACATAGTAGGGTTTGTTCTGCGCCAATTATGTTGAAGGAGAAAAAGCTTTGACTGATTATTACTTGGCATCATTTACATTAGTCAGCATCTAAAAGTTGCAATCATCATAGTTGAAACGTAAATTCAACTACCACTCCTCATCTCATACGTATTATTGAATTTCAAAACTCTGATATATGATTCCACAAACTTTTTTACTTTACTGCATACCTAGTTACATCAAGGTCAACAACCTCTTAAGCTCCAGAAAACTTGCCAAAGCAGCTTTGAGCTTTTCAGCATTCCTCTTGGCAACGTATCCGATATCAAATCTGGATTCCTAAGCACAATGGCAAAGTCACAGGCTACTAAAGGAGTATCCAAAGTACCGAACAAAGTCTTGTACAGTAGAATGTCATATCTATATCAAGCAGCAACCTATCTGGCTGTACAAGACAAGCAAAGTCAAGAACAGTCGGGCAAGGGAATCGCCCTAGACTCATCAATGGAGGACGTCATGAAGGATGAGCCAAAGGCTGTAGCAAATGCCATAGAGGGATCATATCAAGCGCTCTCCCGTAGATTAATCACGGACCTACGCTCAGTCTCATTGAAAGGAATGATGCGAATGTCTCCTGAGATGAAGCATTCTATCTGTAAGAATTGTCAAACCTTGTTGCTGGAAGGGACCACATGTACTGCTAAAGTTGAAAACCAAAGCAAGGGGGGAAAGAAACCCTGGGCTGATGTCTTGGTTCGAAAGTGTGATACTTGTGGGCTGGAAAAAAGGTTCCCGCTGGCAACAGACAGGCAACCAAGGAGACCAAGAAGATCCACCAAAGAATCTAAAACCAGCGCAGCTTAAACATGAACGCACGGATTTAGTGGCGATCGAGAACCCATCACCCAAAAAAATTCTTGCGTTCGAAAGCTTCATTGTTTGTAAAATTTTGGATGCTATGTTGAACGATAACTTCACCATCATTCAGCCCCTATGACTCGGCGCCTTACAAGCTTGCCTTATACCACAGAGTCATAAAAATCATCCATTTCGACGCGATGATTATAGCAATTGCGGTGAAGAGTTTGTTTAAGACTTCGGCACTGGAGTATATATCGGTATTCGACAAGCGAGACTATTGTAAGCAGATGATATACTCCTCATTCGCATCATTCAACTCTAACATGGTAATATGTAGCCATTCTAGAATTAGCTGGTGACATAACGGAGCTGAAACTCCGTGTAAAAAGCTTATGATGTTCGGGTTCTTCTCTTTGAGGGGTGAAATACCTTTGCCCACACACCAAAATGAAAGATACTCTACCTTCTTCAGATCTTCTTCTATCTAAGCTCGAGTATACGACGCGAGATCCTTATTCACAAATGGTATTTCAAATCTTCGCCGTGCGTTATTACGGAATCCAGCAATTACTATTCAAGAGGGCACTCTTCCAATTGCACCGCAATCTGGAAACTCGGAATGTCACTTCTTTCTTTCCAGCATTCTTCATCAAATCCGGTGCTGTTCAATCACTCTGTGAACTCTATCAGGCTAGGTTTGAATACTAGTGTTAAGTGAATCGGAGGAAAAGTTTCTCAATGCTACTTTACATCAAACATCGACTTTCGTGAACTAAGAGCAAATCCCTATCGTTGGCTCTGTTCTTCCGCGTTCATTGTTGATATGAGTAAATATACCTAGGTAGCGGAGGAATAGACCTTTGGCTGGCTACTTCAACTTCGATGCATGAATATCTGGACCAGAATTGCGTGGCAATCAACACGGCCGTACGTTTCGAAGAGGTGATTGTTTGAGATTGAAGTAGTCAACAAGGTACGATTTTTGGAATTGAGTTGGCCAATGAAGTACGATTGCTTGAGGTTGGGTCGAAGAATGGAGGATGGCGGTTTGGCATTAGGTTGAGCAATAGGGGCCGAACTGAGAAAGCGGAGAGATGGTATCACTTTAAAGGCCCACGTAAGCTTGGGAAGCTTGGGAAGCTTGGGAACTCGGTGGATCAAGTAGTGAGAATTCAATCGAGAGCATGAAATTCCATCTAGATACAATACTCTATGGTTACCAATTCGTTCCATTGTCTGGTGACCTGCGTAAACATTTCAACTAGAGCCTACACACAAATCTCGCAGGAGACCTACCCTTTAGTTTATCTGTCCAATCGAATCTGAGTCCACATTTCAGCTGACAAGTACATGGTAGTATTGCTACCCGTGGACCTTAACAGTTTAAGATAATCCAGCATTTCGGCCAACAATGCCTCCCAGCTGCCCAGCCACTACCACTTAACTTTCATATTGATAACACCATAATGACACCAAAGAAACTTCCAGTGAATATCACAACACGACTCCTAATCCAAAATACAACATTGGAAACTCTACATTTCGAAATCACCAGTCTCAGAAATATATCAGCATATTTTCTGGAGATCGAGATCGAACGGTCATTCGCATCAAAAATATACTCTTTATGTCCGCATTTTCATGAAAGTCTACTGATGAATTTATAGGGACCATAGAAAACACTTCAAAGTTCTATCAATTTGTTCTTATATCTTGACTCCTGGACACTCACTTTGAATTAATCGCTCCAATCCTCCACATTCCCGCTTTACACTCTTAGCGCACATTTTACACGCGAAATATGATCTTTCATATAAACCATCATGTAAATTCTATGGTACACAAACTTCAACTCTCTACAAGACCAAAACACATGCGTACTCGCGTGCCACGAGTCCCCACCGGCTCGATAACCATAGCTCGACATCTAGAACAAAATCATATAAGCTATCTTCTTCGTCTTAGTTTCTAGACGTCATATTTCTGCAGTCCGTAGTACTCACGTGCAATTTGTTGAAGGATCTTCGAGCTTGGTAGAATCTCGAGTTGTAGAATATCATTGGGATAACTAAGCGATTGGAAGCTACCTGTCTTGTTACATGCCTCATCTTCATTATCTTTGATTTGCTAGGATTTCTGTGAAAATTCACACAGATTTTAGTCTTTTACATGTTATCTGCAGGTGGAGTGATTGAAATAACATTTGATAGACATCCTGGAAGAGAGTGATTTTCGAAATTCCGTTTGGCTTTTAAGAAATTCGAAAGGGGGGAAATGGTGGAAGGAAGTTTCAAAGGACTGAATTAAATTTATGAATTCATATGTAATCATTAACAGCTTGCATCTCAACCATCAATACCCTCTATATGATAGGAACATTTTTAGCTCTGTAATCATACCACAACGGACTCGTTCTCTTTTGTTGAAAGCCCACTAAACTTTGCTGTAGATCCTCAATCGCACTCGCATACTTAACCAAACTTGCCTCGCTCCAAGCTGTCCCCATTAATGCCAACCCAAATGGCATTCCGTCCACTGGGCTCACGCCTGCTGGTAAAGTAACCATTGGATACCCTGCTTGGGCCGCAATTTGATAAGTTTGACCCACATCGGGCGGTACCAATAATGCGGTGAGTTGAGTACCATTGTTGTGAAGGGCTGCGTCTATTCCATCTTCACGGGTAGTACGATGACAGAAATTGAGGGCTTCCCAATACGTTTCGTTCATGATACCGCCAGTAGCGAGAGAAGCTAGGAACCCATCTTGTCCTGATTTAAAGGCAGGATGAACGCCTGGAAGACCACCTTCGGATCCAACATTGTCGATATTGTACTGGACAATATTTTCAACGGTGCGAATATCTGTATTATTGAGATCTGCGAGATATTTTACAATGTCGTTGTAAAAGTCAACTGCTACATATGTGTACTCGGATTCGTTGGGATATCCACGAGTAGTACCATAGTCCCAGTCCCAGCCATCTTGAGAAATAATGGTCTGCCAGTAAGGTAATTCAGTGCCATTAATGATCGTAGCACCGGCGGCTTCTATCTCGGAAACAAGATTGAGAAGTTGGGACTGTTGATCCGAATCAGCAAATTTCCAAAAGCTGAGCCAGGGCAGCCCAAAAACAGCGCCCTGGAGAGCGGTCTTGTTGCTGAGATATTGAGAGTAGCCACCGGCTGGCGCATCTTGCACAAGCGTGTAGTTGTCACGGACGTCGGGGCCGTAAATTCCGTCAAGGCAGTAGGTAGCATCTCGGACAGATTTAGCAAAGCATCCGACGGTGTCTTGATTATGAGATTCAGGAATGACACTAAGAAAGCTGTCAGTATGATACATGGCTATGAAAATAGTGTACTAAGAGTCTTTGATAGTCGGAACTGCAGTCTGGCTCAAGGACGATCTTGTCATTTGCACATGTTGGATGTTCAAAACATGCTTTCAGATCAAGAAACTCTCATTGTCGGACTGCAGAACTATCAAACAACGCTGACAGCAAAGAAAACTTACCCGTCACGTGAAGTAAGGCCAACAGTTGGTTTGAAACCGACGACACCATTTCGCTCGGCGGGATTGATTACGCTTCCATCGGTCTCAGTACCAAGTGCAAATGTAATAAGATTTGCGCCAACAGCCGAAGCACTGCCCGACGAGCTTCCTCCAGGAGTAGTAGTTAGATTGTATGGTGATCGACACTGACCACCCCGGGCCGAATAACCTTCGGAATATGAGTTCGAGCGCATGTCGGCCCATTCACTGAGAGTGCTATGTCCCATTAGAATGGCCCCAGATTCGCGAAGCCGTTTCACGACATGAGCATCACGAGGAACGATGGAACCAAGCAACATCCAAGAACCAGCAGTAGTTTCTAATTTGTCCTTGGTAGCAATATTCTGGCACCCGTCAGTAGGGGCTATGAAAGGATCCACTGCTTGCAACTCACATCTTTCACTAGAAATGGTATGCCATGTAATGGTCCGCGAATTTTACCCAATTTACGTTCATGGTCGAGCGCAGAAGCTATCTGGATGAATTCAGGATTGATTTGCATTACAGTTCTATCTACAATGTCAACCATTGGTGCATGGAGCATGACGCTGGAAATTGATGCATATGTTACTCACCTGATATATTCGTCTGTTTGATAAATCCTCTCCAAATAACACATGACGATTTGCACTGACGTCAATGTCCCATTTGACAAGGCCGATTGCAATTGGTCAATAGAAGCTTCCTCTAACTTAAATCCATTGCATAACGGCATAGGAAATTGACCACTTTCCGCTAGACTGCCGTTTTGGAGAATAGGAAAGTCATATGGTGAAGGGTCCTCCAATAGCTGGGTTTCAACAAAGTCGGTGATATTAGAGACAGGCTTCGGGTACTTCGAACTTGGACTGCCAATTGTCGAGGCAATCAATGTAGTCGCTGTGACCAATGCTTTGATGAGCGCCATGGTGCAGACAAAATTTAGAGAGCTTGAAGAAATGCAAGAAAAGAGAAAGTAAGACTTAGAGAATGAAAAACATTATGTACTGACGACTATCAGCTATACCGATAAGGGATGCGTATGCTCTCCCATTAAGAGGGGAAATATCACCCACCTTTGGAGTTGCAGATACACCTGCATATCTCCATCTCAGCACTCATGCAAGCCAAGACATGGGTAGCAGATCATTTCTGCTGGGTATAACCATCAAATATTCATCATATACCAGTATCATCCACTCCATTACCGGTGAAGTGGTCGGACGTTGCCGATTCACTTTAGATAAAGAACGTCGGTGTAAGTTCGTTGTTTATACTTTGAAAGCAAGAGTGGGAAGAAGATAAGAAAATGCGAAAGAGATTCGTCTGTAGAGAGCTTATTATGCGATTGACAAATGGAAACTTGCAACTGGTCTGGTCTGGCCTGGCCACCGGGAGACGAAAGTCACGTGTCACGGAGAAACCTTTTAAGGTTACCGATCCCGTGTCTATTCGTAGGAGAAAAAAGAGGCGGAATTTGATTATTTCTATAATATTTTTATAAGTCGATTATTTTTCTTTAATATTATATAAAATAATTTTTTTAGATATCGTTTGAATAATAATAAGTTAATATCTCTTTTACTTTAATTGAATCTATATAAAACATTTGTGATTGATTTTTAATTCAATTAATTCAGAAAATTTCAATGAGGATTTGAATAATCAAATCCCACCTGTTTTTTCTTCTATGAATAGCGTGTGTCGAGTCCCATAATGTGTCTACATCGTGTTGAACGAGTATGGATTCAACAAATTTGTTGTTCTTGTATGAAGAATGAACGTGGACAAGAAAGGGAAAAGGGTTCGTATATCAAAATAGGACAATTGCAAATCTATCTACAATTGAATCTTATATCGATGCTGTTCTTACTGATTAGTAAATCGTGTTGTCTGGAAATGTGTCAGCCAACTTGATACTGATATCGGAGGTTCTTTATCATACGAGCCATGATGACATTGTTGATTGGCTCCCCACGAACAGCCACAATATCAACATCGGACTCATTGTTCTTCACAATTTTGACATTCGACATTTCAAAGCAGCATCTTCCTGCCTACCACTCACTCAAGTTCTTCCAATAGTCTTCAACAGGAATTGATATATAGTTTGAGTCACTATGAAGGCGGCAATCGCTATTCCGGTCACTCTGGCTATGGTATATAGAGCTGGATCGCACAAAAGTTTAACTCCAGCAGGTATTGTTGCAGCTGTCCTCACAGCTGCCGCACACGCTTTACATCCATGGAATTTACCTTTTGCGCTTTTGATCATATTCTATCTCATTGGCACAAGAGTTACCAAGGTTCGTTACTTCTTTGTAACCTCATCCATCTGCCGTTCTGATGAATATAGGTCAAACACGATGTCAAGGCTAAGCTAACGGTGCAATCTACCGGGTCTGCCGGTGGTGAAGGAGCTCGTACTCATATGCAAGGTACGAAATTGCCTCTTCCATTTCAATGTAAAACTAACACGTATAGTTATTTCGAATTCTGCCGTGGCCTCCGTTCTCACTCTTATGCACGCATATCAACTACACAAACGAGGAATCGAGCCAGAATCGTCTAACGACGCATGTTACACATGGGGTGGTGATCTTCTTGTTGTGGGAATAATAGCAAATTACGCAGTTGTTGCGGCGGATACCTTTAGCTCGGAACTTGGAATCCTATCTTCAGCCCATCCACGACTTATTACATCCCCGACTCTGCGGAAAGTACCACCAGGAACAAACGGAGGCGTTACAGTTTGGGGTCTCGTGGCAGGCCTGCTAGGTTCTCTCATTATAGTTACTGTTTCGATGGCTCTGGTTCCATTCTGTAGCCCTCAGGAATTTGCGGAAAATGGATGGTCCTTCTTACAGCGACAACGATTTACCTATGCGTTAACCATATGGGGAGCTCTTGGCAGTGTTGTGGATAGCTTCTTAGGCGGTTGGTTCCAAATGAGTGTTGTGGACACAAGGACTGGACGTATCGTCGAGGGACAAGGTGGAAAACGCGTACTAGTCGTTGCGAGTGATCCTATCGGTCTGCACCAGGAAAAGACCACCCAGTCCGATGCTTCCAATACTCCACTTAAGTCCAGTCTCAAGCCTGGCCATCCAAGTCGAATCATCGAGAACGGATATTTAAACATTCTTGATAACAATGAGGTCAATTTTCTTATGGCATTGACTATGAGCTTGGGAGCTATGGGTATTGCAAGTTGGGTATGGAATGTCCCATTTTCAAGCATTTATACTTTTTAAAGGGCGGTGTGCCCACGGTTTATGATCATACCCAGCTGTTGTAATAATGTACGCATAGATTCTAGATAAATGATATTTATACATAATTTTTTCAATGCTTCATAGCAAGTTGTGGCAATAGAGGTATCCACAAGTGTGGTTAAAGTATGAGCGTGCTCTAAGTTAACTATATAACAATTAAATGTACAGAACAATTACGATCCACCGTTTCCATTGAGGTATACCTACTCCTTGGAAAGAAAAGAAAACTAGAGATATATCAACCCCCCCCCCCCCCCCCCCCCCCCGGTACGATCCTGTACCGACACTATTGAGCATCACCTTTCAACGTTAAATTTTCAGCAATTACCTGCTCGCAAAAGAGTTTTAGGTCTTCGATCTGTTTATCTCTCCTTTCCACTCGACCTGTCAAACTTGCTACAATAGCGCCTGCAGGTTCGAGTTCTCTGACACGTCTTCCACTTTCAGCCAGTTGAGCAACAAGGTACTGGATATGCAGAGCTGCATCTGTAGTAGGCCGACTCATGCGACTGGGTGGCCCTTCTGGAACACCTTGGGCGGCTGGAACAGAGGCGGCAGAGGAAGCGCCGCTTGAAGCTGGCCTTTGAGGTTTTCCTGGTGGCCTTTGAGAACCAGGAGGTGGACCAGGAGGTGGAGGAGGTGCTTCTGCACCAGAATCAGAACCACCAGGTGGTAATGGTGGGAGTCCGAAGTGTGGACGAGGAGTTGGCAGGGGTGAAAGCTCACTGGAAGGTCCGGCTGCTCGATCAACTACTGGTCGGCGAGCTGGGAGGAATGAAGCCTCACTAGAAGGTCCGGCTGCTCGGTGGACTACTGGTCGTCGAGGGCTTTCAGGCTCAGAGTCTATTGGGAAAAATGAAAATAATTTTTGCTGCTCGGTATTTAGATGATTGTAATCGAAATCACTAAAATCAATAGTATCCCAAATTTGTTGTTGTCTCGGCGATAAGATACCGACGTATAAATCGGGCCTGTGTATACCACGACGTTTAGGCACTGAAGCTCTTCTTGGTTTCGTCCCTGTCTTGGATTTTTTCGCTGCCCTCTTCTCTGCCTTCTTCGCTTTCTTTGCTTCCTTCTTTGCTTTCTTAGCTTCCTTCTTGGCTTTCTTGGCTTCTTCGTCTTTGGGAAGTTTCGGAGGAACCCGAAGAGATAGTGGCACAGGTCCGAGTCCTAGAGCTTCTCTATACCCGCTCCTTCCCTCTGGGCAATCAGTCCCCTTCTCACATTGCGCAATCCATTGTTTCACGAGATCTTTCTTCGAATCATACCAATCCTTGGAATCCTTGATGGCATTGAAACTTGCGAGAGCTTTAGGTGTATCACCGTCATAGTATACAGCAATAGCGGCCAAGTACGATACTTCTACAATCAACTTCTCATCACCAACTGCTTCCGCCTGAAGTCTAGCTTGATCCACTGCTGCCAACACTCTTTCCATATCACCATTGACCTTACCGTTCAAGGCTCGTTGAAGAATCATGAAACCCATCAACATATGAATTGTTTGAACACTGGCATGTGCTTGTTGTTGGTTGAGTTGATGCTTTTCCTTTTCTGCATCCGTGTGGGTTCCAGCAAGGCTCTTTCGTATCTTCTCAATTTCTTTCTTGAGATCAACAACTTGTTTGGAGAGTGCGCTGTTTTGGTCCGTAAGTTCTTTGATTTTCTCAGCATGAATCCGCTCACGTTCAGCAGCATCGGCAGGTGCTTCACCCCCACCCGCAGTATCAATTGGCTTCGTGGTTGCGGCTGCCAGTTCGGCCTTAATTTTATCCAAGGCTACCTGAAGATCCTCTTGCTCCACTGTCATATCATCGATTATAGCATCACTCTGTTCCGTCATTTCTGTCAACTCCTTAACTTTAGCCTCGAGTTCTTCTTTTTCAAGGTGCCATTGGTGTTCCTGCTCTTGGTAATGAATAACCTTCATTCTATTAAATTCCAATGCTTTCTGGTCTGGGTGAACTTGTACTTGTGGTCTCAGGCTCCTCAAACGACCGATTTCGAACTGGTGTGCTTCATTTTCCTCATTTAGATGACGAATCATTTCGGTATCTTCCTTTTTCTCATCTTTTAAGCGACTGATCTCGCTCGTGGCTTTTTTCAACTCTTCCTTAATAGTTTGAATCGATTTGGTACCAGCCGTGTTATCTGTCTGCAGTCGAGTGATTTCATCTTCGGCCTTCCTTTTATCTTGCGTCAACTCTTGAATATCTTCCTTAGCCTTCTTTAACTCTTGCTTTAGACGTTCAATCTCGCTCGCATTTGCTCCGTCACCGAGTTTTGTCTTTCGGACCTCTTCGAGCTCCTGCAATAACTTCTCTACTCGTTCTTGAACAACAGCGTATTCTTTTTGACTAGCTTCTAACTGTCTTTGACTAGCTTCCAATTGCTTCTTGAGTTCTTCTGTGTCCTCTGCACCTAGATTCTTTTGCATGTCTTCCAGCTGTTTCTTGAGCTCCGTATTCTCCTTAAATATGGCCTGATTCTGCATGGCCAATTCTCCATGGCTTGCACCCGGCGTCCCAATCCTAATTTTCAATGCCTGCTCTCCAATTGTCTTTTTCTGGGCTCCAATTTCTGACTCTTGTTGAGAAATTTTGACGTCTCGTTCTTTCAATTGGCTTTTTAGTATCTCAACTTGCTCTTCAGCGCCTGCAATATCCCGGCGCAGTGTTTCAGCCGAGCCATCTATTACTTTGTGTAAGGCCTCTATTTTAACCTGATCCGCAGTGATTTTCTCCTTAGATTGATTGAGTTCCTCATTCAATTGATTAATTTTGGTTTTTTGCTGAACAGCTTGAGCACCAAGAGTTTGTATGTCGAGATTCAAAAGGGACTCTCTTTCGATTTGTGATTTTTCTTCTTTCTCATATTGCTCGACCCGTTTTTTTAACGCGACAACATCAATACTCAGATTGTCCCTCTCTTTTACTGCCCGCTCTTCACCTTCTATAGCGTCATCTAGGAGTTTCAAATTTGAGACCTCCAATCTCCGATATTTTTCTTGCAAGTCATTGATCACATCTCCCAATTTCGCTGCTTCCTCCTTGAGTTGGTTTTTCTCGTGCTCTAGACGCTTGATTGTGGCTTTAAGTTCATCATCCCCGTGATATCCGGCCTCTTCCAAGTCATTTTTATGTTTCTCCTCTTCCAAGTCTTTCTCCAACTTCTTGATTTTCTCGTCCTTCTCGAGAGCCTGTTTTTTGCAGAAGTTCGGCCCTCTTATCTTGTCTTTGTCTTTGGCGGCAGCCTTTTCTCTTTCTTTTTTCTCGGCCTCTGCACGTTTAGACAAGGCGTCGAGGTTTTGTTCGAATACCCGAATCTTGTCGTCTTTTTCACGCAAGGCCTTTGCATGTTTTTCGGCTTCTGCTTTCCTCTTCTCGTCCTCCTTTCTTTTGTCTTCCTGATCCTGTTTGGCGCGCTTTTCTCGTGCGGCCTCTATGCCTTGAGACAAAGCATCGACTTGCAATTTAAGTGCCCGATATCTGTCATCTTTCTCACGCAAGGCCTTTTCATGCTTTACAGCTTCTGCTTTCCTCTTCTCATCCTCTTTTCCTTTTTCCTCCTGATCCTTTTTGTCGCGCTTTTCTTGTGCGGCTTTATCAACTTTAGCCATAGCCTCTTTCCTTTCTTTCTCGAGTTTTGCATTGCGGGTTTCCATCTCCAGATTTGCGACCTCCGACCGCCTTAATTGGTCTTGGAGCGCCATCAATTGAGCCACGTACTTGTCGCCTTCTGCTCCCTTGTTCTTTAGTTCAGCCTCGAGTTTTGCGGCCTTCTCTTCCCATTGCGCTATGGTCATTTCTCCGGGTGCTTTTTTATATGGTAATTTCATTTTTATAGCCTATTGATATAATCAGTACTGGTCTTCCATTCATATTCTACCGGGGCGCTCAGAAATTGCATGAAATAGAAATAGCACTTGAACTTACACCGGCCTCCATCAATTTTCTAATTTCATCAACTTGTTCAGCTGTGAATTTCCCCCTTTCCAAATCAGCTCTCATCATCCTCTCCGCCTCGGCCCAGCTCGCAAAGTATTCGGCCGTGGTTTCTTGTTCAGGTCTCTCAGCCAAGTTTGGCCCAGGTTGATTGACAGTGGCCGTACCTCGTATGGTCTCTGCTTTCTTCGAGGGCACTGTTTTATCGTCATCTTTGGATTCGGTCGTTTTTTTATCTTCTCCTTCTGCGGACTGGATAGGTAACTCAAACCCCGGAGCCCACCGATCATCCTAAATCAATCAATTAGATGGGTCTTTGGAAGTTGTGGATATGGGTATGGGTAATACTTACGTCGCCTGGTGGTGGCACCGCTGCCATTGTGACTGAGTTCAATAGTAGCTACTTTCTTGAATGGGTACAGTAAGGTCAGCTAGGGTTTTCACAGACCAGTATATCTAAACTTGTGGTTGATGTCGAGTATAGAAACACATCATGAATCTAAATCATGGATCAATACATAAAATGCTCTTTATGGAAAACTCGGTTCATTGTTTTTTGACGCATCCGGCAAAATAACTATTTTTTGTAGTCCCAATCACAAAGAGATGTCGCTAGTCTGTCAATTCAATTGGTGTCTTATTGAAAGAAAACATGCTGTAGCTTCTGAAGAAACAGAACAATAGGCGTAGAGTTCTTAACACACTTCCGCTTCGAGCCTCGCTTGAGGTCTTGCACTATTACATTCTCAGATCTCAATGTCAAATGAATCTCAGCAATGCCCAGTAAGCTGTGCACAATGAATCTAGATCATAGGAGAAAGATTTACTATGTAACAGTGGTATCATGATTCCGCCCTAGCCACAAACTCACAAGCTCGCAACAAAAATCACCCCTGTCCATTCTCAAGCACCCACCTTCTCCCCTACTTCCTCTTCCTCTCCTCATCAATCCTCATCTGAGCCTCCCTCATCAACCCCTCCACCTTTCCACCCCATCCCCTAACATTAACCCACCTCACCAACGCAACCCTCGCCTCCTTCCACCTTTGCATCCCCATAAAACACAATCCTCGATACAAATAACATTTACTAATCTCATAGAAAAATTCTGTTCCTCTGCAAGAAATGAAGCATTTTCCACGTGACCTAAAGCTCGTTCGTACTCGGAGGTTGTGAGGAGTGCACAACATCGGATGAGTTCGGTATTGATGTATCCTTTGAAGATTCGGTTGTTTATTTTGAGTGATTCTCTGGCACGTTGAGCTGCTGCGGATTCTTGTTGGTGGCGAGAAGGTATGGAGCCGTGAGTTGTTCCTGGAGGTTGGGGATAGGGTATTCTTTGCTGGGAAGCTTTGATTCTGCGTTTAGTGGCTCCATTTGATTTCTGGAAGAGTTAGAGAGAAAAGTGAATAGCAAGAATGACTGTGGGATTCATGTAGGCTTTGATCAACCTGCATGAGGCTCATATCAACCATTTTGATGATACAAACCACTCAGCGCATGGAAGTATAACGTACCTAAACCGTCGATCTATCCACGAAAGCCTCGCACACCAATTATCTTCCACTCCTACTCAAAATCCTTCTTGCGCCCTCAAGCTCTAACAACGGAGCCGGCGAAGAGTACAAAGGCCCCGCAATTTCGAACTAGCCAGCTAAAATCTCCGTCTTTGACTTTTCCCAATCAATCGTCGCGCGCATGATCTTCTAGCACAGTTTCCTGTCCCAAAACAGTTTTGAAAAAACTTTAGTTTGATAATGAAAAGTGTTGTCTTGTCGTATTTTGCTGGGAATCTATCACATGTGTAGTCAAAGAAGAGATAATCCTGGCTGAGACAAGTAATCGCGAACAAAGAAAAGCGAAATGAAGTGCTACCGCCAGAAATGCATTGGTGTAACTGGGATAAAGAGCTGAAGGCGAGTTGCTTCGATCTTGTCTGAGATGAAAGAAGTTCATAGAAGGATTTTGGAATATTGTAGATAGCTGATTTGGAAAGGTGAACTTCTCTTGGTGGTAGGTACACTGATTCAGTTTAAGCATTGGAACCGAATCGATGTACCAACTTCTTTGTCATCAAATTTAATTGATACACTGAATTTTTATACCATTTGCCTATTCATATTCGAGATGCCCTAAAACGAATGAGACTCATTGGACCAAGAAATGATAATAAAGTCCTTGTTCAGTTGTATCAATGGGCTACCTGGGTAATGTACCTAGTTGGTCTCTATGCATTCAATAAGTTCCATTTTGCAACGACTCACTTCAACATTGCTACAGATATTAAGATGGAGTCACCAGTGATATATTGCTGACACCCAGCGAGAATTTTGCGAAGAGTTTTGTTCCGTGAGTAATGATCTGTCATAGATATCAATTTGAGACACAGAGCCCACAAGACCTCTTTGCCTACGAGACATAGGCAGTCATAATATGTAAGTCCTTAGTCACGAGCATAAATTGACAAGAAAATTTCCATTTCGATTACCATATACACTTAACCTTCCTCAGGGTCGACTGCTCCAGCCTGAATAAGCATTTCCAGCATCTTCTGGTTTCCCTTCTTTACAGCCTCCCGAACTGCAATTTCCGGATTACGATTACCCCGAGAATAAATTGTCGATGAATCCACAGCCGAAGCATTGACATCAACACCGAGGTCGATCAACTGTTTGACCATATACTCATTACCATTTCTTACAGCTTCCTGTAAAGGCGTGCCACAATTTTTGCTAGCTGGGACTTTGACATTAGCTCCAGCTAGTAGCAATATATCCACAATCGTTTGATTTCGTCTTTTCACAGCTTCTTGAATTGCAACACCAGGATTAGGGAGCCAATCTGGTCCTGGGGTTCCTGGAGCGTTGACATCAGCACCAAGTTGGATCAACTGTGTGATAATCCATTCATTCCCTCTCTTAACAGCCTCTTGAAGTGCTGTACCAGAACGATCATTAGCGGGAGCGTTAATCTCAGCTCCCTTTTCGATCAACAAGTGAACTATTGCTTCATCTCCTTTCTTAACAGCCTCTTGAAGTGCTGTCCCAGAATAATAACTACCAGGAGTATTGATCTTCGCTCCATTTTCGATCAACAATTCAATTATTTCCTTATCTCCCTTCTTAACAGCCTCTTGAAGTGCTGTACCAGAACGATCATTGGCGGAAGCGTTGACTTCCGCTCCCTTTTCGATCAACAATTCAATTATTTCTTTATCTCCTTTCTTAGCAGCCTCTTGAAGAGCTGTGCCAGAATAACTATTAGCAGAGGCATTGATCTCCGCTCCCTTTTCGATCAACAATTCAATTATTTCCTTATCTCCTTTCTTAGCAGCCTCTTGAAGTACTGTACATCGATACTTGACGGAAACATTGACGTTAGCTCCAGCTTCAACCAATAAAGCGACAACTTCTTTATTTCCTCGGCTGCTTATGGCCATGGAAAGCGCTGTACCCTTGGAACTCAGGAGATCCACGTGAGCCCCCGCTTCAAGTAGCGCAGTAACGATTGTCAATTTGCCACGGCTAGAAGCTGTGCATAGAGGTGTCATTCGGTATCTACTAGATTGGTAATTTATATTCGCCCCTTTTCCAATGAGAAATCGAACTAGATCATCATTGTCACTAGTAGCTACCCGCAGAAGCAGGTAATTGAGTACTCCCATGTCAGCTCCGAATGCCTCCTCAACCAATGTGTCCATGATGGGGATATCTCTGTGTGTAGCAGCAAGCTTAAGTGCGCGGAAACAGACCCCCAGAGGCAATCGATCTTTTTGCTGGAGGATTGAGAAAACAAGCTGACAGTCACCCATAATTGTAGCTTTCTGAAGAGCATATGCCAGATATTCCTGGTTGCTGTCTGAATGTTGGAACAGAATAACCTCGGTTATAGCACGGTGTCCATTTTCAATCGCCAGTTTAAGGCATTTTCGCAGACCGACGGATTTAACCCAATTAAGGTACTTGTGGGATGTTGATTGTGTGACTGACGGAGTAGAAGTCAATGGCGAGTCATATCTTGACCTGAGCTGCGTTTGCATTTCGAGTATTTCTTGCACGAGATATCGATGCCCGTTGCGGCACGCTTCACACAGTGGATCTTCATCATTGTTGTTTCTATCAAATAGATTCAATCCCGCATCAATGAGCTCTCGGAAGATTTGAGAGTGTCCGCCTCTAGCAGCATCATGAAGTGCAGATCTTCCAGTCGAGTCCTTCGCGCTGTGCTCAATATTCGTGTTGAGAAGGAGTTTGACAATTTTCAAATGGCCATTAAAGGCAGCTACGTGCAGTGCGGTTTTTCCTGTGTCAGTGGTCTCCATAACATTTCCTCCTTCGCGCAGCAGCAACTCGAGCGAAGTAATATTACCACCTTGCACGAGCTTCAGGATAGTGAGGCTTTTCTCAGAATCCTTCTGATTTTGAACGGCGTCATCGTAAGCATCCCGTAAGATAGTGGCATTGCAAGTGTCTTTTTCGCTAGTGGTAACTACTTCTGAGTGCACATTTCTCATATGCCTCAGCAAATTGTCTTTCCGCGCGGATCCTCTGAAGTCACATTTAGGCCACTTGCACATGTATTGTGGATCCACACTTCCATGCTTGCCTTCGTGGCGTCGTAAATCGCTGCGCAAAGCAAAACCACTTTGGCATATATCACACTTGTATGGTCGTATGTGAGTGTTCCGATGACGACTAGAACCAATAATTAGCTACATTAAGCTCTTACTATAGAGAAGATAGAGAGCATGGCCTCACTTCAAAGACCCTTTAGTAGGCAGGGCTTTTGGACAGAATTCGCACCTAAACATGCCTGGAGCCCGAAAACTGGCGGTGCTAGATGCCATCGTAACGTCGCTGAACATGCAAAAGAGGAAGGACCTGATTTCTAGTTCGACAATCACAGATCATAGAAAGAATAATGAAAGAGGCGCAAAGGCTAAGAGCATGTACTCGGGGTGAATGTATCAAATTTGAGATTTGAAAATTACCGGGATTGTATGCACGAACTCGGTGGGTGGAAGTTGAATCTGTAGTGTGGGTAAGATCTTACTTTCCTACCGACGAAATACTTATAGAGCGTTGTTCCCCTCTCTGAATTTTTGAATTTCGTCAAGAATCCGACCAATCAAGTCTCAGAATTCTAGTGCAGCGTGTTTTGCTCGCCTCATCATACCGCCCTACATCGCCCTATCATTCTATTGGCCGCCCGAAGCCTACCTGCAGTACTACGCAAATATGTCGACCAAGCCCAACATGAAGCGGTAAGTTTTTTTTTTCAAACTAACGCAAGTATGCCTCCTCCAGTGTCGTGTCAGGGATGGATGGAAAGTTCGGATCGCAATTCGAACCCAGCCCCAGCGATGTCTCCATTGGTGATTTTGGCACTTCTTTGGATTATTCCGCTGCAAGTCATCTTCCCTTCGCACATCCTACCGAAAATGTACCTTACGACAATGTCGAAACTCCCGACATTTTTAATTGGAACAACAATGTGAGAGCCGATCAGACAACGTTACTTCCTACTGAGTTCAACCACGCAAATGATCCGAATTGGAATTACAACCCAACAGGCAATATAGCAACCGCTTCCTTGGATCCGTTCATGAACTTTCAGAATTTTACGTCATTTGAGCCAAACACGATTTCAAGTGATGATAGGTATCTTCAGGGTCTCTGGGATGGAATCCATGCGGCCATCAATTTACACGGCCAGGAAACGGATTTCTTCGTGTCAGCACCGAACACAACTACGGAACAAGGATTGATTTCCGGAGAGGTTGATACCAACACTGCTCTTATTGGGCAACAAGCTACGCCTCCAGCTCCCCTCATTGGATCCTTCGCGAATCATGTCGCCCCCGCCCCTCGTTTTGCTTGCAACTCCATTGGTTGTGGTAAGACTTTTGGACGCCAAAGTGACTGCAATCGTCACATGAAGAAGCATGAAGCTCCAGAGTATTCTTGCCCCGAACCCGGATGTGGCAGGGAATTTTATCGTCGTGACAAAGTGAAGGATCATGCTCAACGAATTCATCGATTGCAGTTGTGACTCAGCAGGAATCTTTTCCATGGAGTCAAAGCCACAGATATGATCCGCGTAGCGGGATACTGGAGGGTTTCAATCTATTGCTTGTTCATTTCGATTGATTTGGTATTGTGTTCAGTCTGGATTAATGTTGTCGAAAAGGTTGAATTTTCTGGAGAGAGCGACTGACGGGGGTCGCAACGTTCGTTTACTTTATTTTGTTCCTTTTATACTTTTTTGATTCAAGGAGGATATTTCGCATAGTCAGTCGTTATCGCAACTGTTTTTAATTTCCTTGATCTCCCCTTAGGCAGTTAGACATATCAAAATTCGTGGACTTGGAAACAATCTTTGCTAATCACGTGACATATTTCTGTCTTTTTATGGCGTTTGCCTAGTGTTGTAGCTACCTGGTAAGGTTGAAATTGAAGCTGAGCATATCGCAAACTTGATAGTAGACATGTTCTAATGAGGTTCTTGAATTTTCCACGTTAGCACGTGATTCTCGGACCTGAAGATTATTTCCAACCGAGCTTCTGCACGACCACCAAGAATCCGAGCAAGCTACCGAAGTTTCGTGTAATATGAGCCCAAATTTTTGATCTTTCCACCAACGTCGAGTGACCAATCACAGATTGACGATACATTCTGTGGCTGAGAGGGTTTCCAGCATGGCATGATATACATAAGTGAGTGTGTTGGTAGTGAGCAGGGCAGGTAGGGCAAGGAGGGCAAGTACCTAGGGCGAGTTAGGGCGTCAAATCACGAGCAGTATGTGAACCAATATTATTGATGGCTTGTGCAGGCATCACAGTTATCACAAACATCGCTGGCAATTCAATTGCCTCTCCGGAACCAGAGAAGATAAATGGTTCCTTTTGCTAAAAATAACTCAAAGGTTCGTCTCATAGGTACATTTCATCTCTTCTTCATGTTGGTAGGGCGGTAGGTATTCGAGATCAAGAGCGTCAAAAGCATCCCAAACATTCGTCCAATCAGCACGACACACCAAAGGCGCGTACCATTCTTAGGATGAATTTCCACTTCCACACCCTGCACTTCCTGTTGAATAGTCGCGGACAGTAGAAATTCTCCACTATCCCAGAAATCAGGGGCAACAGGGTGGCTTCATATCAAGCAAGTAATTCCGAGATCATTTCTACTAATCGATATTCAATGTTTTTCGATAAAGACACTGGGGCAAGGTCTTCAAAGCTCCACATTTCTAATATATTCACACAATTTTCATCTCCACGTAACCAATTCATCCAGAACACCCGGCGTTATGTCCAGATCTGCTCAGAAAGAGGGACTCTACCCTTGATCCGTCCTTAGAATCTTAGATAAAGTGATCTCGAATCTTCAACCCCAGTCATTTTGGCTTGTTTCATCATTATCATATCGGGTTTAGGGACTATTGACCTCCACTTTAGAACAGGCCCTCATATAAGGAAAATGGCTTCAACGTCTCGAAATGTCTTTTTGAGCCCCTCAGTTATCAAAGTTGGTACTGGATAGGTTGTGACTTTGCGAAAAAGGAACTCGTAGTACCTTGTTCAAAAGGTTGTTGTCGCCCACAACAATACATTCTTTTCTCATTTATTGCTTAAGACATACTCTCATCATTCTTTCTGAGAGAAAGTCATTCATCTTCTTTTCAATTCCTCGACGTTATTACGTCCAGTCACTCATTATTTTTCTTCTTCATTTAATTTCTTAATTATGATTCAGCGAATCGTTTCCACTGCCACTTTGGCGCTTGCTTTCATTGGTGAAGTTTCCGCGACGAACAAGTATACGTTGGTCGATGATTATGCAGGAACCAATTTTTTTGATATGTTCGATTTTTATACGGTACGTACAGTATCCTGTCGATAATTAGATGGAAGTAAAGAGACGGGGCGACAATTGGAACGGCTTGTCATCGGACGAATTATACATGTTGAACGGAAGTATTGGGAAACGAATTTGTCTGATATATTGATCATAGGGAGCCGACCCAACAACCGGATTCGTTTCATATACCTCTAAAGAAGTAGCCGGAAATGCCAACAGCGAGCTTGGTGTAGCCTTGACAAAGGTCGAGAATGGACAAGCTTATATGGGTGTCGACTACGTTAATGTGGTCACCACTGGCCGGCCCAGTGTTAGGATACAAAGTAAAGAGACCTATACTCATGGCTTGATTATTGCCGACCTTGCGCATATGCCGGCTAGTGTTTGTGGTACCTGGCCAGCATTCTGGACAGTCAATACTACTAATTACCCACAATACGGAGAGATAGGTATTCTTGAAAATTTCAACGAGAGGACTGTCAGCTTGCAAACACTTCATACCGAAGAAGGATGCTATATTTCCGGTAACCAATATTCAACTCAATTAAAAGATAACGTCACAACATACAACTGTGATGATTCTGCTACGTCAAGCATATTTGGGGCCCAAGATGCTTGCTCTGCATGCTCTGGTACCAACTCCGACCCGAATTCATACGGAACGACATTCAACAACAACGGGGGTGGTGTATATGCTATGCAATGGACTAGTGATGTCATCAGAATGTGGAACTTTGGACCTGATGCGATTCCAGCCGATATAACTGCTGGTACACCAGATCCATCCACCTGGGATCTTCCTGCCTTTACTACTGAAGGAGGCGTTTGCAACATTGATGGATTGTTCGCTAACCACAAGATTATTTTCGATACAACATTTTGTGGAGTATATGCTGGAAAAACTGGATTCTGGCAAGAGACAACTTGTTATGACGCAGAAAAATATCCTACTTGTGATAGCTATGTTGGAGCAAACCCAGAAGCATACAAGGAAGCTTATTGGCTCATCAACAGTGTTAAAGTTTACCAAAATGATACCTTGGCCGCTACTAGCGCTGCTGCGTAAGTATTCAGAGACCTGGAGAAGTATTGGTATACTAATCATGAATAGTTGCTTCATCTACATCAGCCGCTATCGTTGCTTCTTCAACCAAAATCTCAACTACTGCTAGCCCAGTAATTAGCTCGACTGCTCGAGCCGAATCTCTTTTGGGTGTCGCCACATCCGAAGCCGCATCGATCGTCTCCGTTGTCGCCTCTAGTTCATTATCCTCTGCAGCATGTGTCTCCACGGGTGCCCTCCTTTCTGGCCAAACCGCTTGCCCGGAATCTCCTGTAAAGGCATCTTCTACCGCAAGCATCATTGCTTCAGTATCATCTGTTGCTACAATCATTCCACAACAGCTCCAGTAGAGGCATCTTCCACATCAATAGTATTGCCTCGGTATCTCCTGTTCAGAGTTCCTCCGCTGCTACCATTTTAACCTTCAGCATCTTCTATTGAGCAAATCCTCAGTCGACGGCGTTCTTACCACTACTTCAGTTCCATACCCCAACAACCACCTCTACATTTACGGAACAAATACACGCACTGACGAGCTTGGATCTGTTGTAACCGAAACTGTTATTCTTTCGACTACTATTTGCCCAATCACTGCTGCCGAAGGAGAAGCCACCCCTTCACCATCCAACGCAAATGTCGATTCGACCACAACCATTCAAAGTACTATCACAAGTGTTAAATCCGCCGCTACAATCTACAGCACTGTTACACTTCCAGGTGAAGTTTCCTCTGCTATTATTGTAGCCTCTAGCGAAATTGCACAAATAACTGTCCCAGCTGCTCAACCTTCATCTACCGAGATCGCTGTGGCCAGCAGTCCTATTATTAGTTCGACTTCCGTTTCGGGAGTTGCCTTTAGCAGTCCGATTGTAGAAAACACCAGCAGTGCTGTTGTTGTTCTCCAAACAGCTACCGTCATCCCAGAAGCTTACACAACTCAAGTATCTGAGGCCGCATATGCTTGGAGCACTGTCACTACCGAGGGAACCAGCACTGTCGTTCCTGTTGGTTCAAGCCCAAGTATTCCAGCATCTGCTGAGAGTGATAGTTCTGTACCAACTGCTTCAGCTGGAGCTAGCTCGGGTGAGACCACCAGCGTATCCTCCCCAGCATGCGTACCCGCTGGTGGTGCTCTTTTATCTGGTCAAACAGCTTGCCCAGAGACACCCGCCGCCTCCACTAGTGCTCTCTCAGGTGAGATCACCAGCATTGTTTCTTCGGTCGCTATCCCTACCCCAGCCATATCTTCTGCAGCATGTGTCGCTTCCGGAGCTCTTCTTTCCGGTGAAACAGCTTGCCCAGAAACTCCAGTCAAGGCTGTAAGCTCGAGCGTGGCCACTTCAACTCAACCATCCACTACATCAGTAAACAACACTCCAATTCCAAGTGACGCCTCGGTAGTCCTCTCCACCGCAACCGTGGTCCCCATGCAATCTGCCCCTGCTCCAGCCGCCACATCTGCCGAAGGCATCGCCGTCCCTCAATCATCCAGCGTAGTCGCCCAAGCTGGAACCACCAGCCCAATAATCTTTACCCCAACCTACGCAACCACCTCCTTCATCACAAAACCTACATCTGCATCCGCCAACGCTAACTCTACCCAAACCATTACCTCAAGTAGCGTATCGATAACCGGTACTGGTATCCTTATCGACACCTCTACACTTGGAAGTACCGAAACTTTCATATTCGCCATGCCAAGCGCCTATAGCGCGACTGGAACAAGCGATGCTAGTGCTGTCACTGCTTATCCTTATTTGGACTCTGGAGTCTCAAAGGTCAGTGTTCGAGGAAGTATTATGGCTGCTATGGGGGTCATGGCTTTGTTATTGGTGGTTTAGATTTTGGAGTCTGAGATTCTTTGATACCTATGGGGATGATGTGGTTTGGTGTAATTTTGGCGGGCATTTTGTATATAATTTGAGATCAATATTTAGATACAGAGATAGAGTGTATATTTATATAGGACAATGAGAAGAAATCTCTTGCTATTTTGTTATTTTTTGACTTGACTTGATTTGATTCTCTGGCTTTAACAATCATGACTTTGGGACATATTGGCATAATTCTAGGTAAGTACCTAATCGAAGTTGCTTCGAAATTTCAATCATTGTCCTTTCCCAATTCGAACAATAAGCTCTCACTATCCCTACTCCGATCTAGACAATAAGCATTCAAAGTTCCAATTCCAAGCAAACAAACCGCCCTGCATTATCCCCCCTCCACATAAACAATAAACCATCAATATCCCAATCCCAAATATACAATCACTCACGAATCTCCCATCTCAACCCGAACACCAAGAATTGAAATAAAAACAAGAACTACCTCATTCTCCATTCCCCATCCAACCAACCATCTCCTATCCATCGATTCATCTAGCACAACATCGATATCAATCAATAAAGTCTCACTCCCAAACGACCCGTTTCACAAAAAGTAAAAAAGGTATTAATCATTTATTACGAGGTCATGTTTTTATTGAATGCCGGGCCCGTGCACAAAGCACCTTTTCACACCCAAAATTCATTTACTTTGAAATTCAATATCAAATCAATCAATATTATTATATATTTGAAATTCTACAAATGGTATATTTTTATTTAAAATCTAATAATCTAATTTTTTTTACTTAAAAAAAAACCAATCAATCAAATCAAATATATATCGAACTTTGATGAGGAAATTCGCTTAAATTTCAGTCTGGCATTCTTCAAAAACACGCCCTCGTAGAGTTTGAAATTTTACGATGATCGGCGCTAGCTAGGATGCTGAGCTATAGCTGAGCCACAATTTTTGATGTGGTTTTTGGATGTGCCCAGGTGCAGGTGGTTCCCGAGGTCCTTGCGGATAAAAGTACGCGTGGGTTGGGTTGGGCACGGATGTTTGGGGTTTATTGGTGGGGTGGAGCTGAGGGTTTTTATGCTTTGGGATTTCTGGGTTGGGGGTTTGGTTTGGTTTGGTTATTGCAGGTGTGAATTGATGGGTTTGGGGATATGGAGGGGATTGTGGAGGAGGAGGATGGGGTGCTGGGGGTGTTTTTTGATGTTGTTTTTGTGTTTGCTAAATGGTGTGCTGGAGTGAGTTCTTGTGCTAGCTTTCGAGTGAACGGCTTGGCAGTCAGTTATAAGTATAAATGGACTGAGAAATTTTGACATGTGCCTAGTGGTATCAAGATATGTCATCTAAAATAAAATGCATGCGAATTCTACGTAAATCAACACTCTGGTAGTCTCCATGTTGAGGCGTAGGATTTGAAATTTGCGGTAGAACATTGTGTGCGGTTGTTGAACATAAGGGGGATTGTTCGTTGTGTATGGATGAATGAATATTTCACAGATGGGAAAGCACTGGTTCTGCTGATTCAAATGCTTTATATGCTGTAAGTACGCCTCATTTTTTGAAAGTCGTTTCCTACCTAGTATGGTGATTTCAGGAGACGAAACTTACCGTTTTAGTGATCCAAACTATCGCGCGCATTACGTTTCCTTTTCTGTGTGATGAATAAGGAGCCCGCGTTGTTTGAATTCAAGAGGAAAATTATGCTTTGATGTGCTGCTTTGATTAATGCAGTAAGCTCGCATTTTCAAAAATTCAGTTAGCTGTTCTATTTCTATTTTATTGGCTTGAGAACTCGTTTGAAAATTTGTGGTATCTTATGGGATTCTATGATTTATTAGGTACCTACCAAATATCATTTCCACCACCCATTTTTTCGCTTATTCGGACGGCATGCCCTACAAAAGTCCACTAATACTTTTTTCCATAGGACAACTTTCGATCTAAGATAGCTTTGCGTCTCCTGAATCTCTTTGCACCATTTAGCTCCTTCCGTTGTCCCTCTAGTCGGCTACCTTTTCAAGTAAGTTCTGACGTGATTGTTCTCGTGAATAGCCGGCGTCTTCATCGATTTCCTGTCAAAATAAAGATCACTCACAACCTGCAAAACTCCTCCTACCAACAATAGAGAGGCATATTCACCTTTCCTCTGTATTATCTCACTTGTACGGGTTAATTTCATATCATCGAGAGCAGTTGAATCAACAACATTGAAATGAAATGGGGTTGACAATGAATGACCTCATTGGCCGCCTGATCCAAACTCCTCTGCCGTTCAGACCATCTGGGTATCTTGCTTATTGTTCCAGCCACATGTGAACACTGTTCAGTCTGTCACTTACATAGAAACAGCCGGTCAGCTTTGACGCTTGAAATTTCCAGCTTTTTATCCTTGTCATGTTCTCGTTCATGGTCTCTTAACAACATCATAGCCCGGTACTAATGCTCTCGCACTCGCGAGTCTACGTCGTTCCCACAGTCCTTGAAAGCCACTTCGCTTCACAGGAACAGCACTTCCCGCAGCACTTCCCGCAGCACTCCCCGCAGCGCTTCCCGTAGCAGCGCCCCCAGAGACAGTGCCTCCAGCAATAGTGCCTCCAGCGACAGCGTCGCCGGTGTTTGTTGATTCCTGAGGATTGGGTTCGACTCCGGATCCATCTTCCCAGGGACCGTCAGAATCCCAGCCTTGGATTTCTCTACTGACTTGTTAGCATCTCGATACCTCGCAGATCTCGAGCAGGGTTAGTCATTTACTCGGAACAGACTGGGCAGCTGTCGGTATTGTTCCACTTGAGGTGACATTCGCGGAACGTGCGCTTCTTACAGTTCAGCTTCTCTCGGTCTATCTTTTCTGAAAGTTTCATTTGTTCAGATACTTCAGGACAAGGCTCAAAGTATTCGGCTGTCTTATGTGGTCCTTCGTCCGCTTGGCACTTCCGATATGTGGTCTTGATGTAATAACACATGATTGACACCTTGTGGGTTGTGATGGGGGAAAGCCCTGATATGGATGGAATGATCCCCTAGTAGGAGTACATGATGATGTCCTTCCATAATTGGGATGATATACTAATTATTCACAAAGAATGTGCTCCTGTCAGTAGTCAAAAGATAGATGAAAGATAAATGTATACATATTTGAAGAAAGCTTATCATGCATTTCAAGCAAGAAGGCCATCATAAAGAATCATGATACCTCATTGTAAGCGTGAAACATTCAAGAATGTAAACTCTTTTTTTGGATAAGGATTTTGCCTTCAAACAAAGGGCAAGGTTTCATCTGAAAAGTTTGCAATGAAAATTAGTCACACGCTTAGTTATGCTATAGCATGACGTCTGGGCTCCTTTTGGAAACCTTCGGAGCAGTCTTTCTCTATTATGAAATTAGTATTGAGAGGATGCCATTTGAGAAATGGTTGTTGAAAGTATTCGTTCTTTTCTGTAAGGGCTATGGAGACAATGAAACATGGCGGGAAGATCATAAACGTCACTTGGCTAAATTAGTCCCTCGAAAGAATCAGTGCCAAAATATGTTGTGAAATTCCCCTTATCAGCATCGCTTCTTTCCTTATGATGCAAGATAAAGCTTAGGAAACTCCTGGCGTCTCCATTGTATATTCGATGCTCGAATTCATATACAGCTTTGCTATTAGTTGTAGACTGTGCAAGAAACATTGGAAGAACTTTGGCATCCAAACTGTCACTGTTGAATCTAACTCATAGTGGAATTTGCTCACGATAAAGAAAGCAGGCCAATGGAATGGATGGAACTTTGAATAAACTACATGTTCCACCATTCTACTCGACAAATTTTGTGATCAACTCATACAATTCACGAGTTGTCTTTCTGCTCAAAGCTGTGGAGTTTAAAAGCGCTTTATTCTAAATATCATAATAACTTGTAACTTTCAGAGAATATTTACTTTCAAGGTATGAGAACAAGCAATGTTCATGTCAAATTTATTGTTGTTTGCTCTGCTTCAAGAAAGGCTTTTGTATCTTCTCGTACATCAAAGATCCCTACTCGACGGAAACGGTTCGTATCCAGGCTACTGCGTTCAATCAGTAAAGTACTGAACCACGTTGAAGTATTGCCATCTAGGTCCTCTAACATCGTTCCTACAAAGAGGCAGTATATTGGGATACTCTCAGTGACATGTGGCTCAACAGTACTTGGAAGTGTATCCAGAGTGAGAAAGTTTCCAGAATAGTAAATCCCAGGATCCCGGGCGAAGCTGAGTCTTGGAGCATTTGTTTTTCCTTCTTGGTCAGCGTCAAGATATGAAATCTTTGCCAAAACTAACAACCCCTGAAGCTCGAGGAATGCAGACTCCATGTTCTTTGAAGAATCGGTGGCTAGCCATGGGACGTTAGTACTGACTAATGAGAAACACTGGTGTGGAGCGAAAGTACCATCGTTCATCGCGGGAAAATTTATCGTATCGCCATCTACCAGAATTGGCGATGCCCATGACCAGGTAGGTGCACAGTGGCCATCAACTCTCGGATTTCGTACACTATCTTTGTAAATTTTTTCCCGATTGACCTTTTTCTCTCAAATACCCCACAAAAGACTCCTGGCTAAATCTGCTTCCCAAATACCAGCTAGATAGGCGGTTTTCAAGCGATCTTGAAAGATTATCGCTATCCCAGATAGAGCGACTAACCTGTCTGTTGAATAACTGAGTGACAAAGCTGTGTATTCTTTGACAACCCTAAACCATTGGTCCAAAACTTCCCAGTCCTCAGATCTGTATAGACCTAAAAGTTCTTTATTGGTATTGGCACGTAACTTATCAAGTCCTGTGCATTCACATCGCAGAGCACTTTTGCATTCCATAATCATTTCCGCAGGGTGGAAATGGAGAGTACGAGATGCTAGCTGCCTTTCTTGAAAGACCCATGCACGCGAAAGTAGGGGAGTCCTGATTGAGTCACCAATTTTGGATTGCTCATTTGGCAAATGATATCTTTGGTGTATTTTTTCGAATGAAACTCGAACAAACACAACGCCAGACCCCGCGTGGTTGGTTTTTTTGCTAGCCATGTAAGACTTCAGCGGTAGAGTTGTGGACCCATAATGCATCTTACGGGAATAGAAGCACCCTCCTCTACTATCGCGAGATCCGGTAGCTGCTATGTTCAGATAGCTGTTCGAGTAGACGCTAGCCATACGAATTGCTTCTTTATCCCAGTCATCACTATTGCCTTGAATGATACACAAACTATCAATCCAAATGTACCGAATTTCAAGCGCTCGAGCTATCATAATGGCATCCTGGAATGTCTTTGGTAGATTTCCCAATGGTATTTCCTCCTTGTGGGCAGCGAAGTTGTCTCGTGTAGTAGTCAGTGGCTGAGTTTTACCCCAACAATGGCTGAGAGTAATATATGGGAGATTTTTCTCGGATTCCAGTTTCATTTCGTCACTTTCTACTAAGAAAACTGATCCTCTGTTCAAGGCTTTCCCCACAACGTCAAGTACTCGAGTTGGAACTCGCGATGCTTTCCTACTTCCAGCGCAGGCTCCGTGCTCATTGTCGCAATGCGATATCCACTTGCGTATCATGAGCATGCTTCTTTCGATTGGACTTTCGCTTGGTATCTCTTCGGCAGTTCCAATAATCATGCGGGGACCGAAATCACTGCATGGCATAAGATCTTCAGTATCTACCGATCGTTAAAAACGGATATATATGTATATATATGAAGCGCTTGGAGAGCTCAGACTTGGAAGTTTGTAAAATTCTAGGCCAATCAGGTCGTCCATCGTTGAACCTCTGATTTCAACCTGTAGCGCACAACCTGTGCGGGATATGATATGACCTCGGTATGGCTTTGCGCTATCAAAAACATCCATTTCCTTGCTTATGATATTCAACCCATCAATTAGTAACAAGCAGTTGGCACAACCGGAACTAGCCGCCCGTTGGAGCTGGCGGGATGTGAAAAATAGTCGGTATTCGTCAGACAGATCTCCGGGGTTAATACGCATTTTCCATTTTCCAGCCTGAGGGCTGAAACTATCTCTTGGACGCATGTCTAAATGACAACAGAGTTCTCAGCCTTGAGAATCCATGATGGGCTGGAGTAGTTCTGGTAGTTGATATAGCTCCGGAATATGATTTCAACTTAAACGTCTAGCAGCACCATTCGCAGATCAATTGTTTCGGGTATGATCACTATCGCATGACATTAGATCTTAAAGAGAGTCTAAATATTTCAAGAGAGGTGCAAATGAGAGATATGAGCTGGTTTTATTTCAAGTGATACTGCATAAGAGCGAATCGTGAGTAATTGTCGAGGAAGGCTGTGTGCTAAATACACAAGCACATGCATGTGCTACCTCTCTGTACTTTTGTATTAACACAACTTAAAGTCATGGTAGCTCACTCAATCATGGTGGAACAGGGAAATGAAACATGCGATGCAAGGCTGGTAGTAAAGTATCTGAGATTTCAAGAACTAACAAATTGAAATTACACACTCTAGGCCGAACAAGCTCCTTTCTGTGGGAAGTCCATATCGGTATATTGTTCTTGGAGTATCCTATTTCAATTCAATCTGGTCTACATTGCGGAATTTCGCTAAGAGCAATTCTAGTTGGTAATCAAAAGGGGGGCTGTCGAAGTGCAAGAAAGCTTAAGCTGCCGCCAGCTGCAAATGATACTAGAATGCAACTTTCGTTTATCCAATTCATATGTAGCCCGGAATTCATATTCCGGAATATACGCTGGAGATTATCTCAGGAATAAATTACCCGTCATTTAATACTGCATACTTCTTTTGAGCAAAACTCGTATTTGTTATAATGCAGAACTTCGCTTTCTAATTGAACTCTCAAGGTTTGTGGAATAAGCTTTTTCTATGATAATATTTTTACCCTGATCTTTGAATTATCCAAACCACTAATCCTTTCTAAAATTTGAAAGGTTTCTAAGCAACACAACACTGCAAGTCAAGGTTTTCAAGACAGTAATTTCTGACCTTTGATGCTTCACAGAAAGTTCTGGAAGCAGTGGCACATCTTCGATTGACATGCATTATTCAAAGTTCACTTTCTTTACTCTGGGGATGACCTTTGTCCGGTAATATGATATAAGTTCACAGCATCTCAATATTTCATGAAGTCTATTCACCATACTTCTAGCACCAATCCGAGAACACAATGTGCTATTATTTAGGAAACATTTGGGCATCCTGCCCTGATGGCTATCGTGAGTGTCGCTGCGTGTCTCCTTGCACTTACGGCACTATAATGCATCCTTGCGGAGTCTCTTCCCGCCAGTTCGTCTACACACAAACGATGGCCGAGTGTCCTTGTCCAAACTGCAGGTTTCGGAGGTAAGACATAAGCGATGAGGTTTTCAACGACGGCTAGATTAATTGGTAAGTAGTTACCAGAGGACCCGTTCTGCCAGTAGCCCAGGTGATCTGAACGAAGATTCTGGATCAAGTGAAACTGAGGCTGGAAGTGAAAGATGCGATTGTGCAGATGGACGGGGTGGAGGCTGTGCATGTAGAAGTGGGGTTTTGGGGGTGCAGAACGCAGAGGCGCTGGTCGTAGGGGAGGAACTGAAAGGCGTGGAGTTGGAAGAGGTGGAATTGGAAGGGGTAGAGGCCGTGCAGGCAGACTCTCGTCCAATCAAACCAGACAGAATCGCGAAAATTCTGACTGACACAACGATGACAATGGGGGACAGACCAGTGGATCCCACGCAGCTCACATGGTCCAGTGTCCAAGCAGGCAAACCAACGGAACTCAAAGCAGATGGAGTACTAGGGGCTTATTCAATTTGTAATCATAGCCAAGTCACTGGTCAGATACACAGGGCAAAGACACTGGGATACATAATTGAGGGAGGTAGTTGATTGGATGATCGATCCTACACAGCTGGCCCGGGCCTTACAGGTCCTGCAAGAAAAACATGCTTGAGTAAGTGAATTTACAACATGTGAACTTTGTTCAGCAGTGGTCAGAAACAGTTAATCATAACTGACAGGTTAGTATGAAGTTTTGCGTTTTAGAAAATCGAGAACGGGATTTTGAATTGATGCTGTATGAACTTCTAGTGATCCCACCATGAATTGTATACAACGACCCACGTAGATATTAAAGTCAAAGTTACATAGCTGCACAACGTGAAATATGTAGCTAAAAAAACATGTTTTGGCTAGGATGTGAAATTCGGACACTTTTCCTCTAATCATAAGACGGCACTGGAAGATGCTGGTTCTTCAGACGGCACGGTATTCAAAGCAGTGTCCCAAAACTTGCTGGTAAATTCTCGTGCTTGGTACTTTTGTATAATCAAACACTCATCCTCAATTTGTGGATCTAGATTGTAGAGGAACTAGCCATGTAGCCTCTTTCATAACACCGTCTTTCATCACGAATCGAATGATATAGGACGGGTTACCACAATATCATATTTGTGAGAATCACCAGACAGAAATCTCTATTCCATGAAATGTGTTGGGGATTCAAGGACGTATTCACTGGTTGCCCTGCCGAATGCTCGATATGGAAGACCACTGAGAAGCATCCTGCCTATGGAGAAATTTGCTCTTACTTCGCAGTTACGAGACAGCATTGCAAAAAACTAACTCAGGTCATCCTTGCAGAAAAAGCAGAAAAGTGTCCGGGTCATCGGCCTTTCGGCTGTTACTGGAATCCGCAACATAAAAATTCTAGTTCGCAGGTACAAGCTTCAGGCATGAATCCGGATCCTGGGGGGCCTACAGAAACCCCGAACTCGAACAGTAACCAGCTTCAGATTAGATCACACAAGAACCCTCATTCTGCTCACCAACCCGCAATGCAGACGGGTTTTCGAGGTGGATTGCCGTCTAATCTGTCGCTTCGACAGCAACGGGGTATCTGGCACAATCAAGCTTCGAATTTGATATATCCAGATAATAATGGAGTCGCACCCTTGGGGACATATGATCGTTCCTTCCTGTCACTTGAACCGCCGGACCTGGTAGTAGTCTCGTCCTCAACAGGCCAGCAGACGAATCATCCACCGCAAATTCCAGGGCATGCGGAGGGTACGTTTACAAGCCACTGGTCAACATCTAATCATCCAAATCAAGGACGTTCAAGTCAGGAAAATGTGAGTAAATTTCAACATAATCCCTTCTACTTCGAGTAGATATCTGACAGACAAGTAGCGTCGAAATTCAGAGCCGTGGAAGGATGTTTCAAAGAATTGAGGCAGAAAATCTTGATTCTATGATTGGTTGGGGAGTTGCGCATGATGTTTACCAATGAAGATGGTGAATACTTTCACACTGTCCAAGGATAACCTCAAATGATATTTTCTGAAAATCTACAAGAGAATAAAATGTGCACTGATGTTCACGTGAGTAGAGACGGCGAATGACCAATGTGTTTTTATTCGAAGATAGTCTTGAATTGCGAATTTCAATTCAATATCCAGTGCTCTTGACCAAGGAATGATAATTGCCCCTTCATTGCTCTCGTTTCCTCTGAATTGGGTCCGTGCACGACTACCAAAAGTAGCAACGATTCCGCAAATGAATCCAGATATCTTAACCCACCAAGCCCATCTTTCTTCAAGCACTCAAGCCTCCGAACCCCGAGTATCATCCAGATATGGAAATTCGGACGTTTGCCAAAAGAACTGACAAGCAATGTGGCGTTCAAACCATTTACAAGTCTATCTCGTAGCACACGCTTCGAACAGGTTACTTCCAACTCCACGTTTAGTTTCGACCAACAAGGAGTCTACCCACTTTGGAAGGTATCGCGTGGGTCGGAAGTATCAAAGAGCGGAGGTGGGGCGGATAGGAGCGACGGCAAAGGTTTCGTCCGTAGTTATGCCTCAAGCCCAACCAATCAGAATTCAGCCCTGGGTCAGGAATCCGGGGTAGCCTACCTCGGTGATCGACGAATACCTAGGTAGCTTTACCGACGAAAAGCATTATATTGTAACTTGTTGGGGGATTCTGTTTGACATTCTTCCGCCTTTCCAAGTTTTATCCTTTTTTATTGACACTTCACAGATTGTTGTTGCTTTTTGCAGTTCTTGATATTCCCAAATACCAATTTTTTGTATAGTAACAGCGTTTGATTCCAATCATTATGGCGCTCGGTAAGCACATCCTATCACTAAACCCCGCATTCTACTCCGTCAAGCCACGGTTAGACACAGCCCATTTCCGGCTCCATTACATGAATTGGAAAACAAATGTCACTCTCAACAACCGGCGACTTTAGACAGCTTCATTTTTGATCTCCAAACAGCATACTGATCAAAATGAATAGCAACAGCAGTTGTAGCAGGCACATCTGCTGCTGCAATGTACCTCGATGGCAAATATTCGATATTGAAAGATTTGAATGAGAAATTGAAAATGAGGCGAACCACGAAATGGTACGCCGAAGCTGGTAAGACGCCTTCCCAAACCATATTGCTCTTACTGAAACAACCCATCTTAGAGAAAAACAAAAAATTATGTCTTTATTATCTGTTCGAGGAAAGCGTGCATCGTCATCCAAACACAGAATGTATCTGGTCACGAGAGGGCTGTTACACTTGGAAACAATCATATGATCTCGTGAATCAATACGGTCAATGGTATCTCTCCCAGGGCGTGAAGCCTGGCGATTTAGTAGCATTTTACCTTCAAAATTCTCCGGACTTTTTGTTTGCTTGGCTGGGATTATGGTCGATAGGAGCTGCTCCGGCAATGATCAACTATAATCTGGCTGGGAAAGCATTAATCCACTGCGTTAAGGTTCCAAAAGCCAAACTCATTTTGGTGGATGATAATGCGGAGTTGAGAGAGAGGATTGAGGCTGAGAAAGAGGAGTTGGAGGGGAATTTGGGGATAAGAATTGTATTCATGGATAGCTCTACGCTATCGGAAATACGTAGTGGAAACGCTGAAAGACCAGAAGATATTTATAGGGAGGGAGTCAAAGGAAACTCGCCTTTGGGTTTGTTGTATACCAGGTTAGTGCTCTTTCCGGGCTATAAAAATCCGATGGCTAATCGATCATCAAGCGGAACTACAGGGTTGCCGAAAGGATGTACTTTTGAGGTTGCTAGAGGCTTCGCGGTGGGAGTTGGGGTAAGGCCTAGATCAAGATATGATTACCGCGAAGATTGCTGATAATTTCCGTAGAGAGCAGCTGGCAAGTCCCCTGTAAAGGACGATGATCGATGGTACAACTGCATGCCCTTGTATCATGGAACCGGTGGTATTACCGCTATATCAAACCTGATGAGCGGAATCACCAATTGCGTCGGTAAGAAATTCAGCACTTCGAAATTCTGGGGAGATATACGAGACTCGAAAGCAACATGGTTCACATATGTTGGAGAGACAGCTCGCTACCTGCTCGCTGCGCCTCCTTCTCCTCAGGATAAAGATCATTGCGTTCGAGTCATGTATGGAAATGGTATGCGTCCAGATGTGTGGAACAAATTCAAAGATCGATTCGGGGTCCCCGAAGTTGTTGAGTTTTTTAACAGTACAGAAGGGGTGTTTGCACTCACCAATCATGCACGTGGAGATTGGCTGGCTACTTGCGTGGGACATCATGGACTTATCGCCAGATGGCAATTTAACGATCTTTATGTTCCTGTCAAGATAGACGATGTTTCTGGGGCCATTGCACGAGACCCTAAAACTGGATTTGCAACTCGGGAACCATTTGAGAAAGGTGGAGAGATCATCGTTGCGATTCCGAATACAGCTGCATTCGCGGGTTACTTCGACAATCCAGAGGCGACGAGTAAGAAGTTTGAGAGCAATGTTTTCAAGAAAGGAGATCTGTATTACAGAACTGGCGATGCTCTACGTCGAGATAATGACGGGCGATGGTTTTTCCTTGATCGATTAGGCGATACTTTCCGTTGGAAAGGAGAAAACGTCAGCACAGCAGAAGTTGCAGAGGTACTAGGGAAATACGACGGAGTTGTGGAGGCTATCGTTTATGGTGTTCAATTACCCTCCCATGATGGTAGAGCTGGATGTGCTGCTGTGTTCATCGATCCAAGCATTAACAACTTCGACTTTGCTGGGCTATTGAAGTAAGTTGTCTCGAGGGGTTCCTCTTGATTCGATGTACTCAAAACTAACAAATCACAGACACACACGCAAACATCTCCCTAAATACGCAGTCCCGGTATTCCTCCGGATCGTCAAGGAAATGGTACCAATCCATAACAATAAACAGAACAAAACACCACTTCGTGAACAGGGCGTTGATCACGATAAAGTCAAAGCGGATGATAAATTGTTGTGGATAGAGGACAAGGGTAAAGGCAATACATATGTAGAGTTCCACCGAGATCATTGGGCAGATTTAGAGCTTGGAAAAGCAAGATTGTAGAAATTTGGTACTTAGATAATTAAGATGGCGGTTGTATCTGAGGTATATTTACGGATAGTTCAGTGTACTCGAGAAACGAGTAGAATTACAGACATAAAGTTGTATTCAGTACTTATGACATGAGTCCTCGAAATACTGGTGCCATATTTTCTAGCCTCTAGTGCCACTCTCTATACTCACATTCTACGTACCACACCACCTGGAAGCGCTACCCTTTTCAAGAATCATCAAGATATGTTATGTACCAATAGCTTATAATTGAGTTGTGACTCTTGAAAATCAATGTGGCGGTTCGCTCAATTAGTTTTTACGAAGCATTACTCGTCTTTCAAATGGTTGCCTATCATCGAGTACTTCAGAATTATTTTTGACGACATACATGCCTTTGACAAGAGCAAATGAATTACTTAGCGCAACCGATTTCACCGTTTGCTTTAGTTACAAAGATGTTAATGCTAGCCGATGTTCGTGAGAAAGATCGCAAGGTCAAATATGTAGTCCCCAT